TCATTCACATTATATTTCGTATTTCATATTTCATATTTAGGATTGTGGCCTCAGGAAAGTTTTTGTCTATCCAGCTGAACTTACTGGCAACCATATTCTAATTCGGATAACTAATTAAAGTTTGTATGGTAGTTCCGAAGCTCCCGTAGATATCCGTGTAAATTCAACGGCCACGTCAACGTTGTTAGTTAATCAGTTTGCCGTTGATCTCTTTCACAAAAGCGGCATTTAGCTGCATTTTTGAACGTATTGACAATAGTTGCATTAAGAGCCACTCGGGATTCTCCTCGCTAAGTGGAGCCATTTAATCTTGAAAAGCCCAGAATCACACAGTTGATTTCTCTTCGGGAGTAGCATGCATCCCGCCGCACTAAACGTTGCTTCCACCACCTGACCGCCTGACTGATAGATCCATGAAATTAAACACGGTCAGTTAACCAGTAATATAATTGGGTTGCCGATAGATAAAACAGTCGGTTTCACTAAATGTTTGGCCCTCTCGCATCTCAAGATATTGAAACAGATAGGCAGCGCAAATAGCATTAGATAAGGGCACACATCTGAAGCTTGTGAGCGGCGCTCGCCAGCTGGATTGATAGTAAGTGGCCAGATTTATCTGGATGAAAGTGTTAGCAAGAACGTGGTCTTCTAAGTGGTCTGCGGTGATACAGTCAACATCTATATCATGAACACGACAACTAAGCTTGACCGTGCAGTGGGTTGCAGTGTGGGTGGTCTAAAATTCTTCCCGGTCATATTGGCGTCTGGTCGGAATTGTACATCATCTTTTGTGATAATAAAACGTGCTTATCAACTGACGTCCAAGTGGGTAAAAAAGTAAAGAATATTTTCATCTGTTCCCACAGTATTTCAGACATTGGGCAACTGCTTCAGATTTATTGTGGAATACCACGAGGTTATTACAGCGTCAAACTATGGGTTACCGAATAGAAACGAGTGTGCTTTACTGATTCCAAAGTCCAGCAGGCTCACCTAGGTCCACTCGCCCTATATTCATGCTCGCCAAATTCTGTCACGCATTTACTCTAGAATAAACACTCCTGCGTTCCTACAAACGTGTCCACTAAAGTCCAACCCCACATGCAGCGGAAGTATACATCCTATACAAAGTTATTTGTAAGAGAACTGCAGAGACCCTTCATATTTAGGAGTTGTTTAAAACAAACTTTTCACATTTGTGCTTAGAAAGAATCTGAGCAACCGTCGTCCAAACGTTCGTGTCTGGACTAAAACACTCAACAAGAGGAAGACATTTCCTATATCGCTGACACCTTCAAGGGCAAAAATTTAGTATTGCAATGCAACAGCGCCGACTAAGTTAATTCCCGTTTCATTTTTAGAGCCATATAATTGTTTGTCTTTGGCAGTAGAGGTCAGTAGTCTGAGTAAACTGAT